AAAATATCAAATAAACACCCAACTTCGGGTGTCCGGCCACAATGGCGCGTGAAGATCATAGGCCTGAGCGACATGGTGCGATTTGGCCAGGAAGGACCCGTGAGCACATCCTGGCTTACACGATACTTCAATCCATCAGTGTTCCATTTTCGCGCATTCGCACCGACAAGCAATTTGTACCTGCCACGGATCAGACCACCCACAACAGTCTGTCCGTCACCATTGGGAGTGAGGGAAGATGTCTCTCCAATTACCAACTCATCACGGGGCGAAACAGCCTGCTTCCCGCTGAGCCATGGCCAGATATTCAGAGAGTCGTGCGGTGGCAAGCCAGCAGATGCAGCTAAGTGATCCGTCGGATCAACGCCTGCGAGCGCAGCATAAGTCGCGTACCAATCCCAACCAGCAGCAAGCCCCTCAAGCTTGGAGCCGCGGCGTTCTAAGGGGATCCGACAGCCCTCCTGCGGGACCACGAGGCCGCCCAGGCACTTTTCCCTCTGCTGGCAGACTGCGCTGTCGTATACATAGATATGCACAGCCGATTCCAGACATACAAGTGGATGGTTCGTCGCATGTGCGACTGACTGCTACATGAACGCAAGTGGCCGTTGCAAATAAATCAGGGGGGAAGTGAAACGGCGATGCCAAATAATTGATGTTTGGACTGTTGCTGCAACCTTTCAAACACGAACCCTGGACCAGGTCAATCCATTATCACCTGAAATCTCGCCAACATGATGGCTGGCTGGGTCCCACGACAGTGATCGCTAGCAACTTGCCATCGATCCTGTCCCACAGTGCAACGACTCCGCGCAAGACGCGACGATGGAGTATGGCTCAGAGGGCCAGGGAAACCCATGAGACACTACGATCTTTCGCTCCCTGGGTCACGCCCCGCAACATCAGGAGGGGCCCCAACACGATCCCGAGAGGATCCCAGAGAACCCAGAGTGAGCCCAATGAGATGCCCAAGAGGGTTCCAGGGCGCACACCACCCAAAACGAGCTTTAGAAGAGGAGGGCACGAGATAACCCAAAGAGAGCCCCAGAGGGCCTTCGAAGATCGAACAGGAAAACCCAATCATGGCCCAAATCGAGAACATAGGTGCCGCGAAGCGGACCAAAACAGCTACAAGAGTGCGGCAAGAGAACCTGCAGGAAGTTTCCAATCCGACTGCGCAGAAACCACGATTCCATCAACACCCCTAACCGAGACGTGACGACGCATCCAGATCATGATGACACGCACACATACAGCAAGGGCCCGACCACAAAAAACCTTCCAAAAAACACCCAACCCCGAGACCCCCAGACGGTAATTCATGCTTGGTGTGGGAACGTCACGCTTTCCATGGCAAAACCATCGAAACCAAAGAAACCAAGGACACCCTGGAGGCAAGCAGGGTGCGTCTCGGCATGGGTGTGTCTTGGCATGGGTGGGCGCCCATCGACGCCGAACCCCGCCTGGAGGTCCAAAACATAGAGAAAAGCACCGGCGTGATGCCTGCATCCTTCGACGCCTTGCCGGCTTCTGCTGGGCCTCCGAGGCCTTCGCATGCCCCCGTCAAGTCCCCTACCAGGGCCCAAAGACAGGCGATCAAGGACCACAGAATGTTTGCCAGCGTGGATCCCGAACAGTGATGTCTTGAAATCGATGCGGTGCTGTCGAGGTGGTGCACCTCATGTGGTGCAATCTGGGTGGTGCGATCCATGCGGTGCAATCTGTGTGACGAAAAGAATTGCAGAGCAGTGGAAACCGCTGCAAAACAATGCAAAGCAATGCAGCACAACGCAACGACACACAATGCAAAACAATGCAAATCAATGCAAACAAATGCAAAACAATGCAGACCAATGGAAACCAGTACAACTGAGTGCAAACTAGTGCGAAACAGTGCAAAGAAATGCAAAGCAATGCAACGCAATGCGAAGCAATGCCAAAGCAATGCAAAAAAAGACAAAGCAATACGAAGCTACGCAAAACAATGCAACGCAATACAAAGCAATGCAACGTGTAATGCAAAGCAATGCAACGCGTAATGCAAAGCAACGCAAAGCAACGCAAATCAGTGCCAAATCCGCCGACCCTGTCGGCGTGTGACAGGGGCCATCGCCGTCGCTGCCGCCGTCGCGTCGCCGCCGCCATCATGTTCCCTCCTTCCCCTGAGTCCGTCGCCGCTCCCCCCCTTTCCTTCGGGCCCTCGTCCTCAAGCACGCCAGCCAGAGCGAAATTCACCAGCCCGTCCACAGCGAGATGACGCAACGTTGTCATTGAGTCGAAGGGAAGCTCCTTCTCTTCGATCCCTTCCCCGCGCAGGGGGAAGGGTCCCAAGGGGGGGAGGGGCCCCGGGGGGGGTCCTGGGTCAGAATGCCCCCCTCCCGGGGCCCATGGCCCGCCCTCTCCCTCCCGCTTCCGTCGAGGGCCGGAGCCTCCGGGGCCGGCGGCACTGGCCGCAAGGCCTCAGCAATATGGCGAAGCAGCGAACAGCAACGCAACGCCATGCGAAGCAGTGCGAAGCAGTGCGAAGCAGTGCGGAACGGTGCGAATGCGATGGCAATTCGCTGGCCCAGCGTGCTGATGGCGTGCTGACATCTCCGGCAACAAGTTTAGAGCACTTCCATAGCTCGCGCGCGCGTGGCTCCCCATATGCGAATCCCAGGGCGGTTCCCGGGCAAGTGCCGGGCGGTCCGTAACGGATGCCGTACTCCAGGGGGCTCCCCATCAGGGCCGTCAAGAGCGTCTCGAGAGGCTCCCAAGGCGGCCCAGGAGGGCCTCGCAAGTCACCGGAGGTCGTTCCAAGCCGTCCAAGGGCCACCAGACGGCGTCGACCGCGACTCCGAGACGCGCGAAGATACCTCCAAGACCACTCCCAAGAAGCCCCCTGGGAGGCGACGGTGACCACATGGCGGCCACAGCGGCCCGCGGGCCCGATTCCTTAGAAACGAACTGAGAATCCCTTCGTGCAAGCACTGTTTGGAGAATAGCCCCTCGCAATTATGCCCGGTAACCCTGGTAGGTCTTTCGAGCCCTCCCCAATAATTGGGAACGAATTATCTGTTCGAGGACGTTGATGACGGCCCGGGACGAAACCAACAGCGATATTTCTCCGCAGCGACACCCGCCGCACAACAACGAAGATGACTACGGCTACGATTACGGCTACGACCACGGTACGATTACGGCTACGCCTACGGCTACGACTACAAGTTGTTAGCGACCAACACTACGATTACGACTACGACTACGACTAGGACTACCGCTATCCTCAACGAGGGTGAAAGGCATCGCAACCGACTTACATATTCATATTACCACCGTCATACGATTGTTCTCAAACTGCCACTCGCGTGTGTAGTAGGCCGATGGTTGATAAGTCGCCACTGAAGTAAACCGCCCACGAATACCCCGCTCGCCAAACATTAGAAAGAAACTACTCTCCTGTCGCGGGAAGCGCGCTGATTCTTCCGCAAATGCTCGCATGAAATTTGCTCATAGTAGTTAAAGTAAGCAAGCACAGATGCATTCCAGTTATCAACACTTAGAGGAGGCCATACAGACTAACATTACAATCCTCTTACGATTACGCATGCCCAAACATTCTGTCCCGCGTGGGGAAGCCCATGTTGCACTATTTCCCGACCAGATAACCGAGCAACAATATCACGCCTGACGAAAATTAGAAGGAAACTATAATCCTGTCGCCACGAGCGCCGCTCAATGCTTCATGTAGTTCACAAACATGATACAAGCTACAAAAATGTTCACCTGCATTCAAGCAAGCAACACAAAAAGAAAAAACATAACAGGTTGAATTTCACTTCTCTTACGAGTGGGCTCAGCCATTCCCACGTGTGGGAGCCCACGTGGCATTATTCCCCAAGAGGAATCACCCACCCACAATATCCCGCCTCGCCCGACGAACATTCGAGGGAAACTATTCCTCTGCCACCGCGAGGCGGAGGCAAGGGAAACGGAGGGGGGGACGAGGAGGAGCCAGAGGAGGACGAGGGTGAGGAGGAGCAGGAGGAGGAGGAGGGGGAGAGAGACGACGAGGAGGAGGAGGAGGAGGAGGAGGAGGACGAGGAGGGGCGATTGCATTCCTCGCCGAAAGAAGCATGGGGAAGGGAGGGCAAAACTAATGACCTCCAGAGGCGAAGCCTTTCATATTCCATCAGGCTCCAAAGCACTCCGCATATGGCACCCGAGGCCGAAGTGACAGCCCCAAAGACTGGCAACATGTCCCTGGTGAGCCCAGGGGCCTCCGAGAACACCGCTCCTGCACCGACAGAGCGACCGGAAAACGGTGCGGACCGGCCGAACAGCAGCCGCATGCTTTTCGCAGACGTTTTCGGAGGGCGGCGCCCTTCGAACATCGCGAGGTCGATCCGATGCCCCCTCTGGCCCGCAGGGCACAGGAGCTGCTGGGCGAGCCGAAGCAGAAGCCACCTGTCGGTGCGACTCGCTCCCCCGAGGCTCTCTACAAAGACTGCTGCCCTGAGCTGGCGGGTGTATCGCCCGTTGGCCCTGCGGGCCCAGCTGGTGTCCAAAAACCGTCAGATGCCTTCCAAACGGGCCCGAGAGGTCATCAACATGGTCCAAGAGGCGCTCAACGCAGCCCAGAACTGCCCCTAGATGGCCTGCGAGGACCCAAGGCGACACCAATGTGGCCTACGAGGGGCTGAAGACAGCCCCAACAGAGCCCCAGACGACCAGATTCATTGAAACGTGGGTGTGGGGGGGCGTTGGCTTTTTCAATACTTTGTGGCTTTCGCGCGCTTCGACTCAGAGGGCCTCGGAGACTCCACAAACGATCACAAGAAAAACTAATGGGACCCCAAGGACCCCGAGAAGACTCAGAATCGCATGAAGGCCCAACGACGGTCAAAGAGGGTCTCAGGGTGCCCAGGACGGTCCCATGGGGCTCGGGGCTTAAGAGGACGCCAATACAACCCAGGATAGCCGATAGCCCCAACCATGAAGGCCCAAGAGAGCCCCAAGACAGCGAACGAGTGCACTCCACTAGGAGGGCCCCGAGCGACCTCAAGGACTGCCCACGAGGGCCTGAAGAGAGCCCCAATGCAATAAGAGGGAGGTCGCCAAGCAGGGCCAAAGAGACCCCCAGGCAAGCCCACCGGGGACGCACTGGCCTCTTGTGGCCACCAGGGGCGACGATGCCTCGCCGAAGGCGTCTTCGATAAACCCTCCAGTAGCAAACGCGTTCACCCTGATACCGCCTTCGAAGTTCGAGAACTTCCCACCACGTAGAGGCCAATTGTTGCCACCGCACACACCATCGAAGATGATCTCTCCGCCGTTGTCGCTATGGAACACTACGAGAGCGTTCGCCCACAAGCCACGCGTCTTCAGCAATGCCACGACCTCGCCCACAACGTCGTCCATGTAGTTTACCATCGCGTGCAAATGCCGTCGGTTGCTGTTTTCTATGAAGGCGAACTTCTGCAAGTATTCGCGAGGCACCTGCAGCGGGTAGTGCACCAGGTGCATGGACCAGAAGAGAAACAGAGGCTCAGACGCGCTGTGGCTGTGGATCACGTCCTTCACGCGGTCTGTCAGGACCCTCTCCTCGTACACGCAGGTCTCATTGCTTGGCGCCTGGTTCCCCTGGCTGCAGTGCGGCCCGTTGGCCATGTCAGACGCAGGGCCATCGTAGTCCGAATCGTACCGCCAAAGATCTCTGAGCTCCTCCAGGCCACACCTACCAACCTTGTGCTGCCAGTAGTCGTTGGAGTGATGCCAGTACCCCAACCAAGATTCATAGCCCCGCGCCCGTGGATGATGCGCCATGGTCGCCATCCCGACATCCCACTTGCCGACCATGTGTGTCCTGTATCCTGCTTTGCGCAGGAGGGAAGCAACACCGGTCATGTTCACGGGAATGCCCTGCCAACCACCATCCAGATCTAGGGGATTCGCCGTTTCAGGACCGATGTTTTGGACATTGACATGAATGGGACTGCGCCCTGTCTGAATTGCGCTTCTCGAGGGAGCACAGAATTGGAAGACATAAAATCGATCCAACTCAATCCCACTTTTCATCATGGCGTCAAGGTTTGGTGTCTGCACGTCGCGATCCCTTGCTGAACGGTGATAGCCGATATCAGCCCAGCCTAGATCGTCGGCCAGAATGTGAATGATGTGTGGCTTCCGAATAGACGGCGCAGTGGCCGTGCAGCTGTGGAGTAAGATAGGTACGGTGGCATATGCTTTCACCATCTCGAAGGTCGCGTAACGTCCCTGCAAACGCCTGTTGCAACAACAATCAGACTGGGAACATAACGCATTGAACTACGAATTCACGCAAACCACATTTGCCCGAGTAGAAGAACCTCGAGCCCAAATGGCTACGCATGAATCCATGACAATGCCACGGCACCACAATCCGAACGAACGGGGAAAACAATCGGGCGAACAAACTCTGAGAATCGCGCACGGACACGAGCTTCACCCGGCGACTCATGACATATACGCGCTGACCCGCGTAGGCCTGACACTCGAAGCCATAATGCTCTGCGGACGTTTGCCTTCCGCAGCGCCGCGTGCGCCAACTGTGTGAGAATCCCATCGGCTCTCTGGGCGCAGATCCGCCCCAAGCTGGCCTCAGAGATCCTTTCAGGAGGAGGAGGAGGAGGAGGAGGAGGAGGAGGAGGAGGAGGAGGAGGAGGAGGAGGAGGGGGAGGGGGAGGAGGAGGAGGAGGGGGGGGGCACAACTTGACGACCCACTGCGACCCCCTGTTTTGACAGACGGCTTCCGAGACGGCTCCAGACAATCGCTGCCCGAATGGCCTCAACGCGCCCTAACACGTCTCCGAGGAGCTCCTTCCCGGCTTTCTGCGGGATGGTTCGCCCAGGCCGTCATGGTCGACGCCTGGCTCCTTTGCGCCCCTTTGCCGTCGCAGAAGTCGGGAGTCAACCTGTGCGGCGCTGCCCCTCCTGTTTGCGCCACCGCAGTCCTCCTCAACTTCCCTGATCACGGCAGCTCGCCCACGAATCGAACACGACTGGGCTAGTGGGGATACGCGATGCGTCGTTCACTTCGTGGTTTACTTTGCCCATGTATGCACAGTGCACCCTGCATCGGCGCACACCCAGACCGAACAATCTGACTACGCGTGCCGACCCCGTCACCAGGCACAGAACCTTCATTAACGGGCGAAGAACGGTATACAATAAACTTTCTCGCTGTCGGGGGCGCCTGTCCCAGGGCGGCTGGAAAATTTATACCCTTACGGTGGCACCGTAGGGGTATAAACTTTCCAGCCGCCCAGGGACAGGCGCCCCCGACAGCGAAAAAGTTGATTTTATACCGTTCTTCGCTCGCTGACTTCAGGACAACGCGAAGGCCAGCGCAGAGCCAAGCAGCAGCGGCGGTGGCAGGAGAGAGCGCCCGCCGAGGTGGGCGCGCGCGGCGCTGCAGCACGCGCGTCGACGCCGGCGGGGCGGCTCAGCCCTGCCGCGCCCTGGGGAGGATGCCCCCCCAGCAGCCCGCGCTGCAGCAGCCGGCCGCGGCCGCGCGCGGCAGCCGAGCGCGCCCCGCGGCCCGCGGCGGCGGCGGGCGCGCCCCGCCGCCGCCGCCGCGGGGGCCGACGCCGGGCGCGGCCGCAGCGGCGTCGGGGCCCGGGCCCGCCGGGCCCGCGAGCCAGGCGAGGGCGTCGCGCCGGCCCTTGGCGTCGAGGATGTCCGCGGCATCCCGGCCGCGATCGTCGCGCAGCCCGGGGTCGGCGCCGTGTCTGAGCAGCGCCTGCACGGCGCCCCTCACGTTGGAGTCCTGCGCGGAGCCGCCCTGGCCATAGCCGCCCGAGGTGTCTCGGCAGTAGCAGTATTCGTCGCCATAGCCAGACGGGTCGCAGCTGGTGGACTCCTCCTTCTCGACTCGTCGCGGCAAGGCAGTGAGCGCCAGATGCAGTGGCGCTCGCCCCTGTCGGTCCGTTGAGTTCGGGGAGGCTCTCGCCTCCAAGAGCAACTCCACGAGGGTCACCTGCGGCAAGTTCGCGGCGTAGTGGAGCGCCGTGTTGCCCCCGTCGTGGGCGTGGACTTCCATGGCTGCGCCGTGCTGGAGCAACCATCTGGCCGCCCGGGCCTGTCCACTTGCGCTCGCCACCATCAGGCCGGTGCGGCCATTCTGGTCCGCGGCGTCCACCATGGCGCGCGCGTCCAGCAAGATGTCAAGAACGGCCACCCTGCTCCTCTTGGCCGCGAGGTGTAGCGCGTACGCACCCACCTGTGAGAAGAGACTGTCCGAAATATCTGCTCAACAAACCCGTCACGGGGCCCCATCCTGGCAAGCCTCTCGAGCTGCGTCCACCCGCGGCCACGAGGTCCCTCCGGGAGGCCGAACGAAAAGGGCGAGAAAGCGTCGACCTCCTGCGAGCGAACGCACCCACCTGCGTGAAACCGACTCCGTACGCGCCGGTGTCCGCGGCGGCGTTCGGGTCCGCGCGCGCCTCCAGCAGCAGTCTCAGTTCGGCGCGACGGTCCCGGTCGGCCGCGCTCCGCAGCGCGTCCTCCAGGCTCGGCACCCGCTGCCGCGCCAGGAAGTCCTGCAACCTCGCCGGCGCCAGCTGGCGGGCTCACGGCTCGATGTCGCCTCCGCCGCCGTCGTCGTCGCCGTACGCGGCCGCCGCCGTCGCCGCCGCCGCCGTCGCCGCCGTCGTCGTCGCCGTACGCCGCGGTCGCCGTCGCCGCCGCCGCTGTCGCCATCGTCGTCGCCGCCGCCGCCGCCATCGCCGCCGTCGTCGTCGCCGCCGCCGCGGTCGCCGCCGCCGCCGCCGCCGCCGCCGTACGCCGCGGCCGCCGCCGCCGTCGCAGTCGGACAGCCTGTGCTCGTCCTTCGGCCGCGGCAGCAGCCTGGGCCAGGCGGACGCCGCGGAGGCTCGGCCCCCTCTCGAGCGGAACGGGTAGCCATGGGGCCAGGGGCCGACCGAGCATGGCCCGACGAAGCCCCCCCTGGGGTGCGAGGGGCGCCACGCTTGCCATCGCTCGGACGTCCATTCCCTTTGCATTTTTCGGTTTCGTGCGTGCTTTTGTTTGCTCGATGATTCAGGATGCTCGTCAAGGGTCCTCGCAGAGAAAGAAATGCACACGTCCGAGCGATGCCAAGCACAGTGGCCCAGGAGCTCGGGCGCAGCCCATCCGACCCCTGGCAAACCATCCCGCTCCGTGACGCCATCCTCGCCTCTGAAGCTCCCCTCAGGCCACACACATACGTCCTGGGGCGAGACGGGGTCGTCACGGAAGGGGATGGTTGGCTACGGGTCGTTTAGGGGCCGCCCCTGAAAAAGCAGCCGATCCTGGTGCGCTTTCTGGCCTCCTCGCCAACGCCCGGACGTCCATTCCCCGTGCATTTGTCGGTTTCGTTCGTGTTCGTGTTCGCAAGGTGACCCAGAAGGCTCCTCGATGGTCCTCGCCGTGAAAAAGTGCACTCGTCCGTGCGATGCCGAGCCTCTGATCGGCGGCGAGCCCGGGGGGGAAATGCGAAGGAGGAGGCCTTCTGAGAAGGCTCAGACGTCCCACGACCACCTGAGAAGTTTTCTAAGCCGTCTTCCCGAGAGCCCGCCAACTGCGAACAACCTCAGGACACGTTTCCCTCGGGACCCCCTCCTCCTCACTCCTCCTACCCCTCCTCCTTATGTTTCTTCGTCTGCTTAGTATTCGTAGTAATATTCTCCTTATTACAAGAATTACCCGTACTTTTCTTATTATTCGTCTTCTTCTCAAATGACTATTATGATTCATATCAGCCTTCGTGTTACCATTATTATGTTTCGTATGGTCACTAGTCGTAATAATATTATGCGTCGTTGTGCTACTATTCGTCTCTGAATATTCCTCCTCGTCCTGCTTCTTCTCGTCCTTCCTCTTCCTCCGCCTCCTCCTCCTCCTCCTCCTCCACCTCCTCCTCCCCCTCCTCCTCCTCCTCCTCCTCCTCCTCCTCCTCCTCCTCCTCCTCCTCCTCCCCTCCTCCTCCTCCCCCTCCTCCTCCTCCTCTCCCTCCCCTCGTCCCCTCGTCATCCTCGTCCTAATCCTCCTCCTCCTCCTCCTCCACCTCCTCCTCCTCCTCCTCCTCCTCCTCCTCCTCCCCTCCTCCTCCCCCCCTCCTCCTCCTCTCCTCTCCCTCCTCCTCCTCCTCCTCCTCCTCCTCTCCTCCTCCTCCTCCTCTCCTCCTCCTCCTCCTCCTCCTCCTCCTCCTCCTCCCCCCTCCTCCTCCTCCTCCTCCTCCCCCTCCCCCTCCTCCCTCCTCCTCCTCCTCCTCCTCCTCCTCCTCCTCCTCCTCCTCCTCCTCCTCCTCCTCCTCCTCCTCCTCCTCCCCTCCTCCTCCTCCTCCTCCTCCTCTCCTCCTCCTCCTCCTCCTCCTCCTCCTCCTCCTCCCCCTCCTCCTCCCCCCTTTTGAGGACGCTGAAGGATGCCATGCAGACGGTAAGCCATGAGCCATCGCCATGCGTGCGGGGGCTGTCGGAGTGCAATGATGGAGAAGGGCCCCTCGAGGGTCGGCGGATTGGTGTGCTGTGTCGGGCCCCTCGGGGTCGGCGGATGGATTCGGCGAGGCCCGGTCCCCGCCAGGCCGTGTCGTGGTGTTGCTGATTGCTCCGGAAGGCGTGGCGCCTTGCAGCGGCGGGAGCGTCCTATGTGACGCACGGCTAGGGAGCTTCGTTGGCATGCCTCGTGTCTCGCGGCCCTCGCGGTGCTTTGCCCGAGGGGCTCCCAGGTGGCGGACGGCGCCGCCCTGGGGAGCCCAGAGAGGCCCCGGGTGGCGGAGGTGGTACATGCGCCACCCAGGGGAGCCTGTTGGACATTTGTCCCTGTCATAGCATTCCATAGCATTCCTCCTCCTCCTCCCCCTCCTCCTCCCCCTCCTCCTCTTCCCTCGGCGCCCCAGGAAACTTACGGACGCTCGGACGCCCGCGGACGACGCCTCCGCCAGCGCCGGGGCCCCCAGTCCCCGCGCCCCTGCCGTGGCGCGCCTCGCGCGCTGGGGAGGCGGCACGAGACTTACAGGGCAGTTGTTAATACATATGATGTTTTGAACTATGATATATTAATACATGATTAATGTATGAAAACATGTATGCATGAACTCATCGTTGTTTTTGATACTAAATCCCTGCATTTTGAACACATGATCCGCACGCGGAGCATGTATTAGAAACGGCACTGTACAGTCGGCCTTAATTGGGCAGGACACGCGAGAGGACACAATACCCTTCCGCGGTCCACATTGCCGCAGGAATGTATGAGACATGGGTCGCAAGACACGGGACACGGGGGTACCCTTGATCTGGCAGGGTCGACCTACAAATATGGGCCGACAACAAGTCGGGCACGCCCCCCTGCAGGGGGATTGTGGGTGAAAACGTAAAACGACCAACAGACAAAATACACAAAACATGTGCCACAAACAACCAGCTGCGGCAGACCTGGTCTAGTGATTCTGGCCAATTCAGGGGCTCCAGGGCCTGAGCACTAACCGGCTCCCCTCACCTGGGGTCCTGGTCATACCCGATACAGGAAGCGCGCTGTTGTACTTGTTTTAGGTCGGGCGTGTCCCCCTACAGGAGGATTTGGGACGAAAAATAAAACATACTCAAAAAATGCCCCCCAAAGGCCCCTGAATACTACAACAATTGTCCCAATACAATTTTTATCATTCTTGAAGATTCCCCCTGTAGAGGGGCAGGCCCGACTTAATGTTTGTTTGCTCTTCCCCTCCGCCCCATCACCGCTGAGGCGGTGCCCCCCCCTGCACCTACGGGCAGCGCTCTTGGCCCTCCCCCTCCGGGCCTGCGGGCCGCAGCCCCTGAACCAGACAGCAGGGGGAACCCTCAGGAGCGGCCAAGAGGGGGGTGTCCAAGTTAGGGGCGTGCAAATCATGGCCGGCGGCGTGTGCGCGGCCCGGGGGGGGGGCGGGGACGCTATAAAGCAAGAAGAGGGGCCATGCGATCTGGGGAGATCTCATGGCCCCCGCCGTGATATCCACGCCCCCCTAGCCATCACCCCCCTCTTCGCCGCCCCCGAAACCCACCTGCGACAGCCACCGGCCCAGGCTCTGGGACTCTTGCCATCGCTCGGGCGCCCACCCCTCGCGCGTGTTCCCGCTTCGGGGGTGCTGTTTTCAGCAGATTCAAAAAACTGCACAAGCACTAACTTTCGACGCTCCGCGCGGATGACTTGGATCTGCGCCTGGCCCCCCTCTCTCGGGCGCGCGGGGCGCCCCATGGCGGCGCTGGAGGCGCCGCCAGGGGAGTCCCAGCGCAGATCCACCAACTCCGCGCGGAACGCCAACAGTTTATGCTTATGCTGTTTTTTGCTACTCGAGTTCCGCGCTCCTTGTTGTTCTTTTGCAAGATGATCGGGGATGCTCCTCGATGGTGCTTGGCGGAAGAAGAAACAAAACAAAAAAAAAAGCGTCCGAGCGATGACAGGGGCTCCCACCGCGCCCCCTCCAGAGGGCCAAGACCACCGCAGCACTGGTAGGGCGCCCGACTCGTGGCCATCCCAGCACCGCTCCTGGGGGAGAATGCGAGGAGCGGGCCGACGACTCTGCTCCGCGGACTTCCCTCGGGGCACGCTTCGGCCAAGACTTCGAGGCGCATCCAGCTGTGGCGACGAGGGCGCGACGGGCATCGGTGTCGGTGTGCCCCTCTTCGGGGAGGCGTGAGACTCGGGTTCGGGGGACTCGGGTTGGCCTGACGGGGCCAGCAAGGAAATGACGAGGCGCAGTCTGAATGTTGACGCGAGCTTTGCCCCTTCTCCCCTCCCTCTCTTCCTCGTTCCCTCTTTTCCTCCTGGGTGTGATACGCGTTGCTCGTGCGGTGCTTGGCCGTGGGAGATGCATTCGTACGCCCTGCCGTCCCGCTGCAGCCATGCCACTAAAACCGGACCGTCAACATCCAGGACGGGCCCGTCAGACAGCGTCGGCAAACCCGAGTTCCAGCGAACTCGAGTCTCGCGTTGCCCCGATCCTGCCCCCTCTGAGCTCCGCGGCGGCAGCCGCCGCGGCGACCGCGCGCACCGGCAACAGCCGCTCCCAGCACCTGGGGGAACCGAAAGGGTACCGCCGCTGCTCCTCAGACCTCTCGCGGGGTGCCTTCTGATCGCAGTGGCGAGGCGAATCTGGCGGCGGCGGCGAGGGACTCCCCGGGGCCCCATTCAGGGCCCTCATCTGCACCCCCATTCGGGCCACCCCCCCTTACCGCCCGCCCTAGGACAACGGGGCGAGGCTTGCTCGCTGTATCGGCGCCTTTCCTTCAAGCAGGGGACCGACGGTCCCGGCATTCCTATAGGCCTACCACGACATTTTCGTACAACCCCAAATTGTTCTAAGACCAAAAACCATGTTCTTTGAATATACGTGCTCGAACAAAACTGTCCCAGCCAGAAGCGTTCTAAGAACATCTCCTAACAACCACCAGAGGTTCTTGGAACACGGTTTGGTAAGCCTATAGGCGCAGCAAGACGTTTCACCAGTGTTTGATTTTCCTCCTCAGAAGCACCAGTCCTCGCAGCTGCCCGCGGCGTCCCGCAGCGCGCGGCAGCAGCCCGGCACCTCCGAAGGCGGCGCCCCGGGCCCGCCCCGCCTTTCCCGCTTCCCCGCGTCTGGCCACGGTGGCGCGCAGGAGGAGCCCGTCGCCCTCTCGGAGGGAGGAGGGACGGGGGAAGGATGAGGAGCAGGAGGAGGACGCGAGGAGGACAGGGCAGGACAGGACAGGACAGGAAATCCGCAAGAGGGGCCAAGGCCGAAACGCCTTCAAAGGAGCTGCGGGGTACGACTTGCAGAAGCCCCTGAGATTGGAGCGTGCCGCAGACCCGGACTCGTCATGGTCATGGGGCCGGCAGGGGGCGAACCCCGATGCTCTAAGGGGCGAGCTCCGAGGAGGCCCCGTAAGAGAGGCTCGCTACCTTGTGAGTACGAGTCCCTACGGGACAGTGCGGAGGGAACGGCTGTTGGTTTGGACGAGGAGGACCAACGTAAACCCAAGAGTCCTCAACGTTGTTGGAACAATGAACTCTCCCTCCAAGCTCCCTCTTCACAGGCCCCTGCAACGCTTCTTTCCACTGAAGAAACTGCCTCGGTAGAAGACAACCGTTGAAGACCCGGAAGCATGCCAAAACATGGTTCTCGGGATTCCAACGCCACGGATCAACCTGACTGTTGCGTTTTGGCGATACTGAATCGTGCCAGAAAGCAATTCCTTGGACTCCAAAGCCGCGAATCAACGTAACTGTTGCGCCCTCATAATCCAAAATCCTTCCTATCCAAAACGCAATTTCTGGTATGCTGACCGTGGGAAGCAATGATTGTTACGTTTCCTTCGGGGAAAATAGTAGAGGAAAAAACGGCACGAAAACGAAAACCACCATTTGAAAAGGAGCCGCCCTCAATCCGTGAAACCATTGCGATGTGGTGTATGTATTTAATACAAAAACAAAGCAAACAAACAACACAACGCCACGATAAAGCGAGAACAACACTTTGAAAACGTGCCGCATTCAATTCTCGAAACTCTTGCACTGTTATTTATTTATATATATATATATACATATACGAAAAAACACACACACACACACAAACGAGCGCGGCGCTGAGACGAGAGCCCTAGTAAAAAAAACGGGCCGCCCTCTTGCAAATGTTCAACGGGAATGTGCGCGGCGCGAAGGCGAGAGCCACACGTTGAAACAACCCGCCTTCCATCTGCGAAACCATTGCCAAGCTTTAAGCTTCAGGGTCAAACGTAGTAAGGAAGTCTCAAGCGAAACGCCCGCTCCGCCCCAAAACTGGCCTCGGGGTGCGACAGGGAGAAATTAATTACGAGGAACAGGGATGCAGGAGGATGCCGAGGGGGAGAGATAGGGGGGAGAGGGGGGGAGGAGGGGGAGGAGTTGGCCGTAGCCATTTTGGCTCAAGTCCCCACTTGCGGGGAAGCCCCTCCGCGCCCCGGAAACGGGCCAGCCGGGCTGGTGCTGGGCGGCGACGCGCGCGGCGGCGCAGCCGCGCGACTGCGGCCGCGCGAAGAAGCTGCAGTCGGCGGGGGGGGCCTCCCTCGCCCCCGTGCCGCCTGTCGCCAGCCCGCGGCAGCCGCCAAAGGTCCTGGCCACGGAGATCGACCCCCGCCCGCAGCATGCGCAGTGAGAACAAAAAACACATCAGGGCCTACGACGTCACAGTCGCTACTGCACCAACAGCGACAAAGCCTCCACCACCAGCACAGACACCAGCTGCAAGGAACACCGCAGCACCAACGCCAACACCCACGCCGACGCCACCACCAGCACCGACATCGGCACCAACAGCAGCATCCAATACATCGTGGCACAGGTCAGCCCTCCGTAGCCATTTTGACTCAAGGCCATCTCGGCTGGAAGTGGCCTTGAGTGGCTTGGGCGGAGCCGCGCCCCCCGCCCCAGCTTCGCGGGCGCGGCGGATGGGGCGGCAGCGCGGCCGTGGGGATGCTCGGCGGACCCTGCGGGGCGGGCGCCGGCGCGGCGGCGGCGCAGGGCGGCCTCCCCAGCCTCGCGGAAGGCTGGACCTGGGGATGGGGATGGTGTTTCATCTCGGGTCGGGCACAAGGGGGGGATAGCAAAGGGGGGGTTTGAGAATCAGCTCACGTAGCTGATTTTCCCGGCGCATCCCGGCGCCGGAGGCGGCTATGTATCGAGGAATGGGCCCCTCGGAGAGGCCGAAACCAGCTGCATGCAGCAAATTTCGTACCCCCCCCTTTCCCAATCCCCCCCTTTCGCCCGGCCCGATCATCCCAGTGCCGCTGGCGGGAGCCGGGGCGGGGCCGCTCCCCTCCCCCGCGCCAGGCGCGCGGGCTGGGCCCCACGCGGTCTGGCCCGACTGCTTCGCGGAAGCCCGCACCGCGGCGAGCGCTTCTGGGACGGGGGCGACCCGCGGCGCGGAGGGCGCGCGCTTGGCGAGCGCCTCCGAGGGGGAGGCGACCCGAGGCGTCCCTGACGAGGACGCCGCGCCTGCTTCGGGGGAGGCGGAGGGTTGGCTGCCACGCCCAGGGCGGCGTTTGCGCAGGCGGCGACCGTGTGGCCAGGGTGTCCCGCTGCAGGGGTCGTTCGGCCGTCCGCGCCAGGGCGCCCAGCAACGCAAAAGAAAATGCTCTGGCACGCAAACGCTTCTATTTTTTGGTCACCCCTGCGCCGCCCCGAAGGCACTTCCAGAGTGCCTTCGGCGCGCACACACCCTCGCCCTCGGGTCAGCACGGCGCTCGGCTCCCAGGGTCAGGTCGGGCGTGTCCCCTACAGGGGGATGATGGGGGAAACATGCACAATGCTCAAAAAATACTCCGAAAATGTTCAAACATAATCAAAAAATGGTCCCCAGACCATCCGTTTATGACTACCTACCAGACCACCCCAACCCAACCCGAAGACCCGAATTTCCGGTTGGGGGGGGTACGGGTTCCATATGTGCTTTCTCGATGTTCCCCGATCCCCCCCACTGGAAATGGTGGTCAATTTGAGGCCTTCGGGTTGGGTTGGGGTGGTTTGATGGGTGGTGAGTTTACCATTTTGGAATGCCCCTCCTTTGGAGGGACAGGCCCGACTGACTTCCAGGGGCGAGCTCAACGGCCCCAAGCGGCCGCCCACGCGGCTGCGCGGCCTGCCCGGCAGCAGCTGCCCGACCACCCGCGGGGCCCCCGCCGCGGCCCGCGGCCGTGGGCGGAGGGCCCCGCCTAGCGCACCCGAGGCACCGCCGGGGGGGGGGGGGGGGGGGCCCTTCGTTTTCTCGCCCCCTGCCATCGCTCGGACGCCCACTTCCCTGTGCATGTTTCGGTTCCGTGCGTGTTCTCGTTCGCTCGATGATCCAGGATGCTCCTCCAGGGTCCTCGCCGAGAAAAGAATGCACACGTCCGAGCGATGCCAGGTTAGGCTTCTCGCCCCCCACCAACCCTGGGGGGGGGACTGCCGCGTCGGGACGACACCAGGGCCAAGAGAGAGAGAGGGGCGGGAGAAGAAGGGAGGAGGGAGGAGGGAGGAGGCGGACGAGGAGGAATAGGCAGATGAGGAGGGAAGAGAAGGAGGAGGGAGGAGCGAAGGCGGGGGGAGGAAGAAGGGATGAGGAGAAGATGGGGGGGGGGAACGGAGGATGAGGGGGAGGAGGAGGAGGAGGAGGAGGAGGAGGAGGAGGAGGAGGAGGAGGAGGTAGGAGGAGGAGGAGGAGGAGGAGGAGGAAGGATGATGATGATGATGATGAATGATGATGATGATGATGATGATGATGATGATATGATGATGATGATGAGAATTGAGGAGGAGGAGGAGGAGGAGGAGGAGGAGGAGGAGGAGGAATGATGATGCTGCTGATGATGATGCTGCCGATGATGCTGAGGATGAGGATGGTGATTCTGATTATGATAATCATGGTGACAATATGATGATGGGGAAGGGGCGAAGGAGGACGAGGAGGGGCCTTTCCGGAAGGCCCTCATGGTCGCGGCCGGGCGCGGGGAGGGCGAGCACGGCCTTCGAACAATGCCTCCCCGCCCCCTTCCCCCATGCTTTTTTGAGAGGGCGTGGGGCATGCACAAGGAACCCTCTTGCCTTCTCAGAGGGACGCCTCGACCCTTTCGAGCTGCCCCCTCGTGCGCCCCTGATTGTGCACACGCACCTGCTACCAAGCCTGCTCCTGCTCTTCTGTCCTACTTATCCTTTTTCCCCATGTCCTAAGGATGGGGTTATTGTTATTACTTTGACCGCGCGGAGAACGAGAATATACCTCCCACCCTCAGGTCATTTTTCTGACTCGCTCACATGTAGACTCACTCATTTCCAGACTCACTCATACTCAGATGCACTCGCTCTGACATTACTGATACTCAGGTTTTCAACGGGGGCGTCCAAGAACTCACTCACTCACTCAAGAGCCGCGCCTGGACGGCGCATCGGCAAAAGATAGCCGGGTTTCTCATGTTCGGGGTCACTCACTCACTCATATGCTTCGTAGACTCAAGGTTAATCATACTCAGGTCACTCACACACTAACACACATTCACACTCAACCTCACTAAAGTTCATACTCAGACTCACTCACACCCTGACTCACTCACACAAAAGCTCACCCATACTCTGCCTCGCTCTCCCTCACTCTGACTCAGCCACACCACTTCCGCGCTCAGACTCAAACGCATGTTGTGATGATGTCTCAGGCGAGGCGCTGGTTGCAGCAGTCCCAATGGGGGGCCGCCAGGGGGTATCTCACGGACCCGCTCGCGCCCAGATTGGGGGGACGTCTGAGGCGGTTTGCCGGTTTCGGTGCTCAGCATCCTTCTCTCTCGGAGCACTGCCCGAGGATGTCTCAGGCGAGGCGCTGGCTTCAGCACTTCCAAGGGGGGCCGTTAGGAGATATCTCATGGGCCCGTTCGCGCCCAGATTGGAGGATTTCTCAGGCGGTTTGCCTGTTTCGGTGCTCAACCTCCTTCTCTCTCGGAACAGATTTCGGCGCCCTGACAGGTGTTCTGAGGAAAAGAAGGAGACAGAGGAGGAGGAGGAGGAGGAGGAGGAGGAGGACAAAGAGGAGGAGGAGGAAAGGAGGAAACAATTAGTTAAAGTCGTCGTAGTCGTCGGCGTCTCTCTCGGCTTCGTCTTCCACATGAATTCGCTGACACTCAGATGCTGAAAAGGACAATGCCTTCTACCGAAGCATGCCACCACTATGATATGCACACATGGGGATCTCCGCGTCGAGTACTTTTCCTCCCGTTTCTCGATCCTTCCTCCTCCTCCTCCTCCTCCTCCTCCTCCTCCTCCTCCTGCTCCTCTTCCTCCTCCCCCTCCCCCTCCGCCTCCGCCCGCCTCCTCCTCCTCCTCCTCCTTCCTCCCTCCCCTTCTCCTCCTCCTCCTCCCTCCTCCTCCTCCTCCTCCGCCTCCATCCTCCTCCTCCCTCCTCCTCCTCCTCCGCCTCCGCCTCCTCCCCCTCCCCCCCCCCCCTCCCCATCCCCCTCCTCCTCCCCCTCCCCTCCTCCTCCTCCTCCTCCTCCTCCTCCTCCTCCTCCTCCTCCTCCTCCTCCTCCTATTCATGTTCCTCCACCCCCTCCACCTCCTTCTCCTCAACAACGGCGGCGACGGCTGCGACGACGTCGACGACGACCAGCGACTGCGACGACGCCGACGACTGGCGATCCGAGGCCTGAAGCAGCGAGGCGGCGTCGAGGCCGGCGAGCGCCCGCGCCAGCACGCCCTCGTGAAGGTGCTGCACCATTTTGGCCGGCGGGCTTCTCTCGGGCTCGGGCCATTGTCCGTTTTTCCCTGTCTCCCTCCATCCCCATCTCAAGCCTGCCCGCCGTGTGCGTACGGACAGCGCTGCCACGCAAACTTCCCTTGCCCTCTCTCTCCTTGGTGCCCGCTTGCGTGCTTCTCCCTGCAACCTTCTACCTTCCCTTCCCTCCAGCTCCCGTGTGCTCGCCAGATCTCTGACGTCGTGCTGTGTCGAAAGCGCGGGCTCCCGGAGCTGTCGATGCAGTTCAGAAGGCGGGACTTGCCACCTGCCGAACTACGATCACCCGCCACCCACCTGCGACACCATCCCACCTACGACCCAGTCTAGCCAGCAAGAAACCTCCCACCAGAGACCCAAACCTGAGATCCCAGGGACGTCCCTTGACTTTTGGTGGGAAGGTCGCGCTCTCCGTCGCAAAACCGTGGACACCGGAGCGGCCCAGGGCCCCCTGGAGGCGAGCAGGGTGCTCCTTGGCACGGGCTTTCACTGCACGACCCAGCGGGTCGTTGGTGGGGTGGTGTCGACTGGTTTGAAGGGGCCCCAGGACACACAAATAAATACACACACCCATATTTTCCAATACTTTCTGGGTTTTGGGCTTCCCCCCCACTTCCCATATGTTCCAATATTTTCTGGGGAATCGACGATGAGTTGTGTCTGTGTGATTTTTTCCCCTCCTGATGCTTCTTGGCCAGCGCACGTGAGCTCCTTTTGTGGCGCCCTGAGCGCACCGCCGCGCTCCCGCGAGCCTATCGTGCCCGCAGCAGGCGATGGCCGTCTCGGGGGCCGACAGCAGAACCGCCCGCGAGCCTGGAGCGAACGAGCTGACGGCTGGCAGCTCTGCGCTACTGGATCGGATCGAGGGCAGACCGAATCGCCAGCGAATCGTCCCGAATCGGATCGGCATCCGGCATCGAATCGCCGCGCCCCGTTTCCGGCTGGCCCTGGCCGGCGCCGGTGAATAGAGCCGGATCGCATCGAACTGGAATCGCGGCCCAAGCCAGCCAATCGAATCGCATCGAATCGGATCGTAGGCGGCCCTGGCTGGTCCCTGCCCTGACGAGGTGGGCCCTGGTTTCTGGCGTCTCGCAAACCGTTCCGCTTCAAACGCTCTCCGCCTCCGAAGGTCCCTGGAGGCTCTCGACTTCACCTTTCGCGAGGCTTCCGCGCCAGGGGGTTTTCTTTTTAATGTTCGGTCGTGCATGTCCCCCTTCAGGCGGATTTGAAGGAAAAACACAAAAGTCCAAAAATATGCCAAAATACGCAAAACAAATCGAACCATCGTCCCCAGACTGTTTTTTGTTTCCCCTACCTTGGCTCTGCCTAGAAGGGTTCTTACTCTGTGTGCTTAAAGGGCCGGGCAGTGGGGCACGCCCCTGGCGGTTCCCCCGGCATCCGCCCCGCGGTTCCCCCAGTGACGTTCCCTCAGCTTCGCGTTGCTTATCTCATCATAGCTTATCTTATTTCATCTTCGCTTAGCTTCATCTGAGCTTAGCTTAGCTTCATAAAGGTGTTCGATGTTGCTTTCCTAGATCCTCCAACTCCTAGGTAGGGTCGCACTGGTATAATGTTTTTACTATTGTTGAACACTCCTCCTGTAGGGGGACGCGCCCGACTTAATTTCAGCGGGCCCCGTGCGTTCGAACTTGACAACCAGCGCCTGGTGCCTCTTCCGCGTCGAGCCGGCGCGACCCTGTCGTGACGAGCTTCCTCCTCGGCAGGTCAGCGCGTGGCCCGACACGGCCGCACGCAGCTCTAGCTATCCAATGGGCCGCACGGAGGAGGAGGAGGAGGAGGAGGAGGAGGAGGAGGAGGAGGAGGAGGGAGGAGAGGACGACGAGGAGAGGAGGAGAGAAAAGGGAAGCCCCGGATGAGGGAGGAGGAGGAGGGAGGAAGGAGGAGGAGGAAGCCCAGGATGAGCGAGAGGAGGAAGGGAGGAGAGGAGGAGGAGGAGGAGGATGTGGAGGAGGAGAGAAGAGGAGGAGGAAAAGAAGGAAGCCCAGGATGAGGAGGAGGAGGAGGAAGAGGAGGAGGAGGAGGAGGAGGAAGAGGAGGAGGAGGGGGAGAAGACGACCCGCAGGGGGCCGCGCCAGACACGGCCCGCACGCATGCCTCCGACGTCTTGGGCTGTCTCACACGTGGGCCCCGGAGACCTCGGGCCCTTCCCCGAAAGACTGCTGCGTCGCCCCGGGCCGCTCGCTTTGCGACGGTCTCGGAGGCCCTGGGGCGGCCTCAGGTCGCCGATCGGGGATCTGCTGACTCGGGCAGGGGGCCACATGCGAACCCTTCCCGTCCCCCCCACGATTTCTGAGGGTGAGGGCGGGGTTCACTTCGGTCGGGAGCTCCCGAGCGAAGTGAACCCGACCCTCCCCCTCCGAAATCGTGGGGGGGGGGCAGGGGTAGGGTTCGCATGTGGCTCCCTATCGGGTCAACCCAGACCTCAGACCTTCCAAGATTAGAGGCCTCCTAGATGGGGTCGGAGTAGATGGGGTCGGAGGATCGCGCGACATCGCCAATGCATCGCCGACGCATCGGCGATGCATTGGTGATGCACTGGCGATGCATCGTCGTCGGCGATGCATCGGCGACGTCGACGTCGAGCAAATCGGGCTCCCCATCGAGCCGCACCGCCGATGCATCGACAGTACGGCCGGATCCTCGGACCCCTATCCACCCCGACCCCATCGAGGAGGCACAGAAGCATGCTGCAGGATCCTGCAGGATCCCGCACCCAAGCCCGGGTCAATGCGACCCTGGCTCTGCAGGATCCCGCAAGGGTCCGGCGCTCTGCCTGGCCCCCTGTCTGCATTGACCCACGCCTTTTGAGCACCGAGCCGAAATCGAAGAAACGACACCAGTGTCCCAGTCCCTCGCAAGGGGCCCCCTCGCCGGTGGGGCGAGCCCAGAAAGCACACGCGGGGCCGGCTCACGCCAGCCTCGCGCTGTTTTGGCAGAGCTCATGCAGCCGAGCAGCGCCGAAGCACGGACGAACCGACCGAACCGTAGAGAGAAAGAGCGCCAGTGCCAGCAGTGGTCTCGCTGTCGGTCATGCAGCGCCGCCGCGGGGGAGGCGCTCAGACGTTGAAGTCTTTACCATCGCCAGTGTCCTGCGGCCAGAAAGAGGAGGAGGAGGAGGAGGAGGAGGAGGACGAGGAGGGGGAATACAGGACAAGCTAGGTGCGCTCGCGTCATATCTGACGTCCTACCCCTCCCTCCCGTCCCTTACCATGGCGCTGATTTTCTCTATCCGCGGACGCGTGTCGTAGCGGACCTGTGGCTCCGCGCGCGCGTGCGTAGTGGGTGGTGGTGCGCGTGCGTGCGTGCGTGCGTGCGTGTGTGCGTGGTTGGTGGGTGGTGGTGGTGGTGGTGGTGGTGCTGGTGTGGTGGTGGTGCTGGTGGTGGTGGTGTGGTGGTGGTGGTGGTGCGGCGCGGTGGTGGCGGGCGGATGGGCGCGCGAGAAAGAGGCCCGCGCTGGGGCGAGAACGCCATCCTGAACGACGGAGGCCAAACACCGATCCGAAAATGAGGCCCACGCTGCAGCGGGAGCACGATTCGGAACGATTCGGGAGCAGAAATGAGGCCGGCGCCTCAGCGAAATCAGCATTTTGAAACAAAAAAACGCAGGCGAAAACCCAACTCCCGGGAATCCTGTAAAAAACAGTACGCGGGGGGGGTCTAATACTTTCAGGCCGCCATCGGGGGAAGAGGGAGAGTAGTATTCATATTGAGTAATTGTGAAGGGAGGAAGACGAGGGAGGAGACGCAGACTTCTACCACCTCCCCCTGAGAGCGGTGGGAACTCGGCGGTTGGCCGTGCGCCGGCGCGTGGGAACCTGCCCCAGGGGCCAGTCCTGGGTGCGTGTGGCCGTGCGCCGGCTTCCCTCACCCCAGGGGCCAGTCCTGGGTGCGTGTGGCCGTGCGCCGGCTTCCCTCACTCAATAGCTACCACTACTACTACT